CCCCACACCTCTGGTCTGTACCCCAGTTCTCTATGCATACATCAATAAATCTTTAAAAAACAAAATGCCCCCTGTAGTAACTGACCTGAGGGGCATCTGACCATAGGAGAAACTAGAAAGGCCAGTCCCACCTTTCATGTTTTTCCTAAACTATAAACAAAAATATCCATATCATTAAAAATATTCCATAGGATAATACAGAACTCCCCCATACACCTCTGACGTCATGCTATGGATTCACTTTCACCCCTAAGTAAGATAGCGGAACGGAAAACTGCAGACACACACATTCCGGCAGCAGAAGCATGGGTGTCTGGGACACAGGCTGCAGACACCCCAGACGCGAGGCCACCCCGCCGCGGCTGCCACTCCCAGGCTGCTGTGGACCAGACACCCCAAGGGGCTCTGTGGGGGGTGGGAGCTGCGCGGGCAGCCGTGTCTCCTGCATGTTTCTGTCCTGGATTTGGGGCTCTGGCAGGAGGCAAATCCCCTCTCCGGAGGCCGTGGCTGCCCCGACGTGACCTGTGGTGGCCTGGCCGCCCCAGTCTGCACTTTGGTTCTCTCCTCTCCCAGCCCATGGGCCCAGCAACCCTCTTGCTTTTGTTTCTACTCAAAACACAGCAGACGGGTACCCAGGGACCCCAAATTGTTATGGGGAGAGAGGCCCAGCCACCCCCCTCACAAAGCAAAGGAAGCAGACCTTTCGCTGAGAAGACTTTTAGAAGAACTAGCTTGCATACAGAGAAAAGAGGGCAGGATATTCCTAATAACAAGCTGCCAGTAAACCCCCAAATGGCCCATCATCCCCTCATGGGCAAATGCCCAGTCAAACAGGGCTGAGGCAGCTGAGGCCTGAAACTTGCCATGAGTCTCAGTCTTTCTGGCAAAGAACTACAAGGAAAGGGTTGGGCCAGACGGACAGAGTCAGAATTCAAAATGTGACACATTTTCCGGACAGTGCAGTGACCACCGTTGCCTCTGCCCAGGCCGTGGGCAGCCTCCCCGCAGGCCTCTGCCGGTGTGTCTCTTCCAAGTGTCTTTTCTGTGTCTGCACGGCGCTCTCGGGTCTCTTCCTACCCTGCCGGCACCACCTTTGGAGATCAGGACCCCAGGAGCTGCCAGGCTGAGGCTGGGCACAGTTGGCTGGTCGACCTCACATTTCTCTGCAAGGTTCCAGCCATTACCTGTAGATGCTGGACTCGGAGACTCAAGGTCAATACACACGAGAAGATGTTTATTATCATTTCTAGCAGGAGAGAGGCAGGTGTCTCCTCTTCCAGCTTGAATTCCTTTATTCCTGTTTTTCTCTGATCGCTCTGGTTAAAACTTCTAATACTAAGTGAAACAGAAATGTTCCTGATCTTGAGGGAAAAGTTTTTAGTTCTCACCATTAAGCATTATATGGTGGTTGCTTTGCAATTGGCCTTATAAATTAGGAGCAAGTTTCCTTCTCTTCCCATCTTGGTCAGAGTTTGTATCATACATGGGAGCTGAGTCTTCTCAAATGCTTCCTCTGCATTTATTGATATAATGATTTGCTTTATCTATTTCCTTCAGTGGCTGGGCAGCCCAGGAAGCCTGGGCGGGGGCTGGCTGCGAACACGCCACAGGCCAGGTTGTTCTCTTGCTTTGGAAGTCCAGCGCCTCTCCTGGGGCGCTCGGGCCATCCGAAGAGCCAGGGGTTTCAAACTCCGTTAATGAGAACAGTTGGCATCTCGGGTTTGGGTCAGGTCAGGGAGGGCGGGTTTCACGCAGGCGCAGGCTGGGGGTGACAGCTCTTCTGTGGGGAGAGGCGGGGGCCCCC